GGGGGCGGGGGTCGCGCTCCCCTTTTTGGGGATCCTTTGCCTTCTCTAGGGCTCTGTGGGGTTTCGTATCGAGGTCTCACGGCTGACCTGCAAAACCGTAACATAGACAGCCAAAAGTGCCCTAACCATAGGCCCCCAAGTAGTTCCTTTTTGGGATTAATTACCTTATAGGATTCTACATATAAACCGTTCAAAGGAGCTACTTAGGGGCCTATGGGTAAGGCTCACATCGTCGATGAATACTGAACTCAAGGCCAGTCTGCTACTCGTCTTAAGTTAAGTCTTAAGCGATATCATAGACCCGAGACGCAGCCTGAGCGCAAACTCACTCACAGCAACTGTAGCCCTATGCCACCCTAAACCCTAAACCCCTCAACCCCTGAACCCTCAACCCTAACCCCTAAACCCTAAACCCTAAACCCTAAACCCCTGAACCCCTGAACCCCTAAACCCTAAACACAAACCCACGAGCATGGAGCCCCTTACAAGAGAAACAAGCCGTAGCTTATCGAACCCCTTGAAGGAAACCCTTAAGGGAACATCCAGGAATCTTCGGCAGACGCATGTGCACACATAGCATGTCACACGCCATCGGACGCGAGGGCACACCTGGGTTTCGAGCTTTGGGTATTGAGTGTTGAGTGTAAGGTAATAGGGTTTTGGAACAAAACAAAACGGATACCGAAGATTGACCAAGACACGGCACAGGGTTTTAACCTGTGCGGGGCGATAGGAAAAATGGCCCTGTTTGGCCAGAATTCGTGCTTGCAGTCCTGTCAAATCTTGAGCCACCAGCAGAAAGGCCGAACGGGGGCTCAATTAGCTTCCGTAGCAGTGTTTGGGTCAGGTATAGTATCCCCTTACCCAGAGGGTCCTAGCCGACCAGTAAGGTTTTAGGTCCCAAAATCCATACTCTGAATGGTTTTTGGACCTTGAAAACCCTACTATTTGGGTACTTGGACCCTTAGGGTTACTCTAAGGTTCCCACCCACATGGAAGAATCGAGCTTTATGGCTCGATGACAACTCTGAATGGGTTTTTGGCACCTAGAACCCGACCATTTGAGAAGTGGGACCCTGAGACCTTTGGGTAATATCTCAATGTCCCCAAAAAGACCTACAGTTGTAAGGGCTCTATAAAGGTTCTATGATGAAGGTTTTGGTTTTGGTGGCCTACCTGGACTTTAAGAAACCTACAGTTTTTTTTTTGTTTTTTTTTCCGGGGGGGGTCCTTGCAGTGAGTTCCTGCCTTAGTTCCCTAAAGCGGCAGGTTTATGTGGGGTCACGTACGTAAGGTTCAGGGATTATTCCTCGTCGAGAGCTCCCACAGGGAGCTCAGTCGAACAGCTCGTCGTGGGGATCGTCGCAACTGGCAGCAGGTTCCCGAGTTTGACAGGCATACTTGGAGGCTCATTGGTAGTTATAAGTGAGGTTATAAGTAGGGAAACTACGTATACCTATAACCCATATTAGGGGACTTCTAGCCCCACTTATAACTACCCATGAACCTCCAAGTAGTAGGGTTTGGGCTAAGGCTGAAGCACCCTGACAGGGATCCGTAGGTACGAAAACAAAGGGGCCTGAACGATTAGAATGGGGTTTCCTTTAAGGGCTCCTGTAAACCCGAAACCCGGCAAGAGAGAAGGCACTGGAAATCCTGGACGTGCGGTGCTTTGCAACCAGCAATGCAACAGACCAAGCTACGGCCTACCCATAGGCCCTGAAGTAGTTCCTTTTCATGGTTTATATTTAGAATCCTAGAAAGTAATCCCAAAAAGGAACTACTATGGGTAAGGCCTAGAAGTATCTCAACAAAGCAGCCTTGAAGCCTCCACCTGCATGCGCAAAGGCAAAGGCATACGTCACACTGAAGCCTGGAGCCTGCTTGACACCACCACCACCATCACCACGACTACTACTATTACTTGTATAATAACAATTATAATAGAATAATCATAAGCAAACAAAAATACTTTCCGGACCAGAAGCTGTCGTCTTCACCACGGATGAGGCAGAGATAGTTGTAGTAGTGGCATGTGTGCGAGGGGATTTGGAAACGTGACAGTAGAAGCAAGATGAGGCAAGGTTAGGGTCTAGGGGTTTAGGGTTGAATTTATACTGCTGGAGTTCTTAGATGAGAGATTATAATTATGACAAGAAGGGGTCTTGAAAGCAATGCTCAAGTGCACGGTTCGGTAAACAACAGCGACAGTCATGATCGTTGCTCGGCGAGCTTGACCCCAGCATCGGACTCGAAATTCCGCGGGAACAAACTCCAGGATCACTCTACAAAAACCCTAAACCCTAAATCCTAAACTTAAACCGTAAACCCTAAACCCTAAACCCTAAACCCTAAACCCTTAACCCTAAACCCTAAAGCCCTGTCAGTCGGTCCTTGTGCATTTTTGCTTCCTCCCGTTCTGGCTGGCATCACGCAGGCTCGCTCTAAAACACAGCCCCGGTAGCCCTCAGCTGAGGCAGTCCATCACTAATCCGTCGACACCTTCCCAGTACCTGAGCAAGAGTGCTTGGAGGTTCATGGGTAGTTATAAGTATAGGCTTATAAGTAGAGTGACTATATTTATAACCTTCCTTAGGGGACTTACAACCCCACTTAAAACTACCCCTAAACCCTAAAAGCCCTATAGAACCCTTTAGAGGAACCCTTTAAAGGAACCCCTAAAGGAACCCTTACAGGAACCCCATAACCCCACTTCTGAACCTCCCAAGTGCACTCGCGGAGATCGGGCTCCGGGGCTCAGGATCAGGGTTTAGGGTTTAGGGTGTAGGGTTTAGGGTTTAGGGTTTAGGGTTTACGGTTTAGGGTTTTAGGCCTTGGAGTTGTGGGGTTTAGGGCCTTGCGCCCCTAAAAACTGGGGCTTCTACCCCTAAATCATCCATAAACCTCTTAAAAACCCCTCAACCAAAAACTCTCTAAGCCTGAAACCCCCAAACCTTAAACCCAAAATCCTCAAACCCTCAAACCCTGTCAAACCCTTAAACCCTAAACGCTAAAACCCTAAAACCCTAAACCCCCAAAACCCTAAACCCCTAAACCCTACACCCCTAAACCCCTAAACCCTAAACCCCTAAGCCCTGAACCCTAAACCCAGGCATCATTCAGGCGTAGCGTCTCCTTGGCATGGCTGACCATTCCTCTGCAGTGCATCGCCTTGTCGAGGGTCCTTGGGTTTAGGGCTCATAAGGCTTATAGGGCTTAGGCCGTAGAGCTTGGGGTTCAGGGTTTAGGGCTTAACGGGCTTAGGGCATAGAGTTTGGGGTTTAGGGTTTAGGGCTTAGGGTTTAGGGGTTAGGGTTTAGGATTGCAGCAAGGGTGCTAATAAATGCTTTTGAGGTGATGACGGCAAGGGTTCGCGATAAGACGAAGACTAAATTGTGAATAGATGCATGTAAGCATGATGCGACTGGTTGAGAATACGAATATGCTTACCATGTTGTACAACCAAAATACTGCCCGGAGTACTGCTTGCGATATCGCGTCTACATTATTCTGCTGATCATGTTTTCGTTTCGCTCCGTTCAGCTGGATAGTGTCACACAGCTTCGTTCTTGTGCTGGACTCGATCCTACTTTTCTGAAGCTACCGTTTCACTGTGTGCAAAGTTCTAGCAGCTAGCCTGGATCTGCAAGACTGCTACTAGACGACTGTTCTAGAGTTGAGTTGTTTGCACACTTGCCGTCTTTGTCTGTGCTTTTTCCTTTCAAGCAACGACAATAGGGTAATTTCAACGATCTTGCCAGGATGACCAGTGTTCTGATTGCGGTTATGTTGTTGCCAGCGACTGTCCATCTGGTCAACCATCTTTTGCTATCGTTGATACTGCTATCCGTCTGCAGAGTCTGCTATTGCTGCTCATCACTATGAGACGCATTTTTGAAATTAGAGTGTCACTGCCCCGCGGTGGGATTTTCCAGTAGAAATCCTCAAAGATATTCCAAAACCGAGTGTCAGCATGCGCACAGCGGTACCATCTTGTCCCAGAATGTTCGCATCCTGCCAGCGCTGTGCTTGACTCAGCACTCGGTTCGGAAGCTCCCGCAGCCACTTGGCCAAGAGCTCTGATCCTCAAGTCCGACACTTTTGGGTTTAGGGTTTACGGGTTTACGGTGTAGGATTTGGGTTTGGGAGTTACGGGTTTGGGATTTAGGTTTCAGGCTTAGAGTCAACTTTTATGGGTTTTAGAGCTCTAGGGGATTGGGACTCAAAGCGTTTACGCTCCAAGCCGTTAGAGCCGGGCATCTCTCGATCGGAACGATCTTGTCACCTCGTGAAGCGACAATCCTGAGTTGATCTTCAGCAGGCAGCGGTATGTTTTTAGGGTTTAGGGTTTAGTCAGCTGGCCAACGGCACTGAACCCCAAGTCAGAAACCGCTAAACCCCATAAACCTCGAAACCCTTTAAGCCTTAAGCCGGGTTTCGGGTGCAGGGTTTCGGGTACAAGGGATTGCATGTAAGGGTTTACGAAGTCATGTTGACAACAGGACGGCATGGGTGTCCTAACGCCTCATCCTACATTCTAAACCCTGATCCCGAACACTAAAACCTCTGTACACCCGAAGAAACTTCCTAAAGCCGTAGAAGGCCCTATGAAATCTGCTACCCTGTAAGCCCTACACCATCCTAAACCCTACTTGGAGGTTCATGGGTAGAGATACATGAGGTGATAGGTAGGGTAACTTTACATATGTCCCTTAATTAGGGGACGTATACCCCGACTTATAACGACCCATGAACCTCCAAATAAGCCCTATATGGAATCACACCGTAAATGCACCGGAAACCGAGGATCAAGGTAGGAATCTCACGGAGAAGACGCCAGATGGCAAGAACCTGGGATATTTCGGGTTTAGAGTCTAGGATTTAGGGTTTAGGGTTTGCTTCAAGGTTCCGTATTTGGGGGTTCGGAGTTTGGGGTTAAGTATTTTGGGGTTAAGTATTTTGGGGTTTAGGATTGGGGGAAAGTCCACCCTTTACGATTGACCGGTATCACGGCAACTTCATTGAACATCCTTTAGCCCGTACGAACCCCTCTTTGCAAACCCTACAAAGCCCACACACACTAACAAAAGAAACATGCGTACGTTTACGTAGTTGCATGAAGAAAAGTTATCTCTCTCTACATATATATATATATGTGTGTGTGTGTGACTGCATAAGCCCCATAATTAGACCAAAAAGGCCACGATAACATGCTTGAAAAACTTCCTATACACGGCTGAGCAAAATCAAAGCGAACTCGCCAGACTTCCAACGTTTTGTGTTGAACCTTATGAAAGCCTATAGTACGCAGTGGAGAACTCCCCGAGGCCCTAAACCCCAAACCCTCTACCCTAAACCCTAAACCCTCTACCCTAAACCCTAGACCCCAAACCCTCTACATCAGGGAGCCAAAGAACGGGACCCCTGGGGGCGGAGGCGAGCTCCCCTCCAAGCTTGCGGCTGTTCGCCGTTGCGATCCTAGGCTGGTCTTGGCTTGTGAGGGTTTCGGGTTTAAGCCTTAGGATTTCAGCTTTATGGGGTTTAGGGTTTGGGGTTTGGGGTTTTGGGGTTTAAGGCTTAGGGCTTAGGATTTAGGATTTAGGGTTTGGGGTTTAGGGGTTTAGGGGCTTTGCTTAAGGGTTTTTCCTCGGCCGTTCTTTACTTCGCTGGGCTTTGGGGCCTAGAGACGATACTAGCTCAGGGTATACTTGGAGGTTCATGGGCAGTTAGTTATAACTGGGGTTATAAGTGGGGTAACTATACATATTAGGGGACTTATAACCCCACTTATAACTACCCCTAAACCCTAAAAGCCCTATAGAACCCCTTTAAAGGAACCCTTAAAGGAACCCCATAACCCCACTTATAACTACCCATGAACCTCCAAGTAGCTCAGGGTAGAGGGTTGAGGGGGTAGGGCTCCAGCGCGTGGGTTTAGGATGCTAGGCTTATTAGGCCACTGTTTATGATATAAATCCTGCATTACATTAAGGACCCTGAAGTATGGGAATTATGATATATTTCTTATTTATGGGTAATGCAGGATTTATATCATGAACCGTGATTTTGAGCCTTAGGGTAGGCTCTGGAGCTTCATACCCACGAAGCAGGTTTATGAAAGAAATGGCACTGCAAATGATGATTGGAAACTCCTCCTACACCAACTCTGTCTCTCCTTGTAAACTTTAGTGTTTGTGCGTATAATATATGTATATGCATATACACTAAACAGGGGTGCTGTACATGCGTCTGGGCATACACGCACACGGTCTGTGTATGAACACCATTACTGTCTCTAGTATGATACTGCCCTTGATCTCTACATCCATCCTACATGCTGCATGCAACGATGACGACCGCTCTACAAGATAAGTCGGGAAGTAGTTATACGACAAGTAAGCCAAGCCTAAGTAAGGAATTGGGACTTTGATCAATGGCTAACTTAAGAAATGCTACTCTCAATCGGGCGTAGGGAAACAAGGGTTCCTTGCTCAGGACCACTAACGTATACGAGATGTGAGGAATATCACGGCAAACCACTGGTTCCAGATCATCCGCTGAAAAACCTTAAACCCTAAACCCTAAGCCCCTAAACGTTAAACCCTAAACCCAAAGCCCTAAACCTTCTCCTGGCAAGAGTCAATGTCTTTCCGAAGGAGTTCGCAGGCTCTTCGTGAAAGGCCTGCTAAGACACCAAAGCTCATCTTGTAGGGTTATACCCATAGGCCCCTAAGCAGTTCCTTTTTAGGGTTTATATTTAGAATCCTGAAAGGTAATCCCAAAAAGGAACTACTTAGGGGTCTATGGGTGCTGTTTTGAAGGCCGTTACAGGAATCCTTCAATGAAATCACCTTCAATAAGGTTGAGGTGTAGGATTTAGGTCTTGGGGTTTAGATTGAGAGCACATCCGCAGAGGAAGCCGCAAAAATGAGTTTCAGGTTTTAGGGTTGAGGGTTTAAGGTTTAGAGAACATCTCTGAGGAACCCCTAAAAAAATAAAGGCAGGCCTGGCAGGCACCGAAGGTCATCAGCATGTTCAAGCCGCAGCCTGTGAAGAAGCCAAGGGCGTTGTCCTGGGATGTTTTGTACGCGAGCCCATCAAAGATTGCGCTTTTCTGGCCCGTCCAAAGAATGCACGAACACCGTAAAGCCTAAACCGACATCCTAGTCCCAAACCCTAACCCCCTCACCCTAAACAACTAATGTTAAGATCCGCCAGGTATCGGTTGTTTGTTTGTCGGCATCCGACTCGGCTCGCGAGGGACCCATGGGATCCTCCATGTCGGTGCTCTCCTCGTCGACGGCGATGGCCTCCAAATTCAAGCTTGAGGATTTAGGGTTTTAAAGGGGGAGGGGACTCTAGTACTTACCCTAAACCCTAAACCCTGAACCCTAAACCCTAAACCCTAAACTCTAGACCCTAAACCATTAGTATATATTACAGTATTATGGTTCAGGATTTAGGGTCGATGGGGCTTCGGGTTTGGGGCTTCAAGGGTTCCAGGGTTTATGGTGAGCCGCGATTGAGGGTTCGAGGGTCCCGGCTTTTGAAAGGCTTTAGGATGGGGGTAATTAGGGTCGCCTTTTTAGGTCCCCAATATGGCACGGCACAATTATAAGAAGGACCCCAAAAGGGACCCTGCTTTAGAGAACTACGCATGTAAGGTCGGGTGGGGCTGAGGGGATCCGGGCCTCGAGGGCTTAGGGTCTTGGCGTTTCGGCTGTGGGGTTGTGTAGGGTTTCGGGTTTACCCATAGGCCCCTAAGTAGTTCCTTTTTGGGATTGCCTCATAGGATTCTAAATATAATCCACAAAACGGAACTACTTAGGGGCCNNGGTTTAGCGTTTCGGGTTTAAGGGGTAAGGTTGCGGGTTTAAGGTTAAGGATGACCCCCTTGAAGCAAAGCAGAAAGGCGCACATGAAGGAACACCGAAAGGAACATCAGGGTTCAGGGTTTAGGGTTTAGGGTTCTTAAAGGGAAGACGGCAAGACAGAATCACGTGACTTCCGCAACAACAATGGTGGAAGGCTAGAGCTTAAAACAGACACCCAAGAAAGATATCCTAAATGCCTGGACGCCATGACAAGTACATCGTGAATGCCAAGACGCCCTTCAAAGTACATCCTTTTTGCCACAACGCTCTTTAAACGACTCAGGGTTTAGGGCTTAGGGAGAGCATCCTACATGCTGGTGTACCTTAGATCTATAGAAAAAATCACCATCAACCGAAACTCTCAACCCTTAAACTCCTAAAATAGCCGCAAAACTGCAACCGCCCAACCCTAAACTCGAAACGAGCCTGAAAAATGAAAAGCCTCCAGAATCCTCCATAACATCCCTATAGAAGACTCACATTTCCAGAATCCTTCATAAAGCCCCTATAGAAAGCCCTTTCCAACACCAAAAACAGGGCTGACCTCCTGCGGAAGGAGGCACCCTAAACCCAAAACCCTAAACCCTAAACCCTAGACCCTAAACCCTAAACCCTAAACCCTAGACCCTAAACCCTAAACCATGGCTGACCTCGTGCGGTAGGAGGCCAGCACCATCAGAGATCATGCACTTGATGGACTCCCCAGGCGACTGGCGAACTTCGCCCTTCCTGGGTTCAGGGTGTCGGGTCGTGGACTCTTGGGAACCCTAAACTTAAACCCCAAACTCCTAAACCCTAAACCCCAAACTCCTAAACCCTAAACCCTAAACCCCAAACTCCTAAACCCTAAACCCAAAACCCCAAACTCCCGAACCCTAAACCCTAAACACCAAACTCTAGACCCTGAGCCCTGAAACCCAGAGAACCCAATACCCCTTAATTAAGGAATATACCGTAAATCCTAACATTAAAGCCCCTGGAATTTAAGGCATATTCCTTAATTAGGGGGTATTGGGTTCTCTGGTTACATCCATGTATACCAAAACTTTAAAACTCCTAAACCCTAAACACCAGACTCTAGACCCGGAGCCCTGAGCCTTGTTACATCCATTTACTAGGAGTTAGGATTAGGGGGACTTTTTGGGGATATAGACTCTCTCAATAAGATCCCTTTTAAGATAGCCATAAGTAAGGTTAAGAAGGGTCCCCTTTTGAGGGGTCTCCCCAATACCCTAAACCCTAAGCCCTAAGCCCTAAACCCTAAACCCCGAAACCCCTAAACCCGGGGATTTACCAAAGGCAACCCAGCCACTGCCAGCTCTCCTCCCATTTTCCAAGGAGCGATCGCGCCATCCCAAAGCCTGCCCCAAAGCGTCGTAGGGTTGAGGGCTTAGGGTTTTGTGTTTAGGGATTTGGGCTTAGGGTTTAAGGTTTCGGGTTTAGGGTATAGGGTTTAGGGTAAAAGGTTGCGGGTTGAGGGCTTAGGACTCAGGGTTTAGGCGCCCAAGTTGTTCTAATTGTGCGCCGACTTGTTTAGGATCGACTTTGATCCTGCAAGAATGAATGATGTTCCAGGATCTTTTTCGTATCAAACCCAGGGTTCAGATTGAGATCTTACGAAATCATTACATTGAAGGCTGCACTATAGGTGATCAGGTGAAACTTCTCTACCAGGAAGGGACGCCTCTCTTTCACATCTCAAAGATAGTTATCCTGATGTTTGAACTGAAACAATGTTAGAGACTATTTAAATGAGGAGCTGGATACAGCCAGACGTATCGACAGAGTTGCCCTTCTCCTTGAGAGCTACCAGGTCAGTTGACAGTATTCTGGTGAAGAGCTCCAGGACGAAACTGTGAACGGCGCTGATTTCGTACGCCGACACCACTTCCGGGAGAGAGGCTTTTAGGGTTTAGGATCTCAAGAGTTTAAGGTTTAGACTACTTTGTTATTCCATACCCCGAGGTTAGACAAGGGCTTTGTGTGGATATGAGGTGTCATAAATGTGTGTTGCACCTTTGCGTGCATGAGCTTTACCAAGGTTTGAAGAGCGTCAAATTCTTTTAAGGGTCTCATGGGGTCTAAGGGGTTACTGTACCCTAAAGCATAGACCAGGTGCGGTCTGTGTTTAGACGCTGAGAGTGTGAGGACTCAAGCTTAGGGTTTAAGACAAGATTTAGGGTTCAGGGCTTGGGGTTTAGGGATTAGGATTCAGGGCTTTTCGGGCTTAAGTCGAGGGATTCCGAGTTTGGCTCACAGTTTAGGGTCTAAGGTCACGGCTCCAGTCCTGAACCTCTCATGCCAGACACCCCGGGCACGCTTTTGCGACAAGATCCGGTACCCTGACCGAGAATATCCAAACCCACTCCGACACATGAAGAACCGGCATACTTGGAGTCCCTTGCTAAGCTCATTTCTTCGCAACTCTGCGTAGAACCCATCCAAAAGTCTCCACAGTCTCAACGACACACCAAAGCCTTTTGAATACCTACTTCGCCTGAGAATCTAATGAAACAGGGTGGATTTGGGGCGAGGGTTCCTTTGTTCCGGTTTGGGGGCTCAGTGCTTGGGCTTTGGGGCCTGGGCTTTTGGGCTCAAGACTCGAGAGGTTTAGGGTTTAGGGTTTAGGGCTCAAGACTCAAGGTACATAGGGTTTACCAAAACCTGATGCCTCAACACCCTGCCTCCATCGCTAAAGAAATGGAAGATCACGGCACGATCTTCCAGCACTGAGACGAGCTTTGAGAAAATGGAATCCAACCTTTCTAGGCAAAGCCCACAACTTTAAACCCCCGATTCTCCCTAAACCTTAACCCTAAACCCAACTCAGGCTAAAGTTAAAGCCTGGAGGCCTCAATCAATGTATGCATGAAGCCCTGGGCCGTTGAGGGTTTAGGGTTCAGGGTTCAGGGTTTGGGGTTTAGGGTTCAGGAGTTTGGGGTTTAGGGTTTAGGGTTTAGGGTTCAGGGTTTGGGGTTTAGGGTGTGTGTTAAGGGCTTAGGTTCTGCAGTTACAAACCTCTGAGGCTCTTCCTTTGCATTGGGTCGAGGGTTCAACAGTTTAGGGAAAGCTTTAAAGCTATATTTCCCAGAGAGCCCAATACCCCTTAATTAAGGAATGCAGCTTAAACCATAATATGAAGCCCCTTATACTTGCAGGTATGTGCCTAAATTCAGGGGTATTGGGCTCTCTGGGTTCGGGTGGTTGTATGGTTTTTTCAATGTTGCTTGTGGAGCTGTGCAAAGGGGGTTCTGCCGTCTTCAACTCAAAGGTTAAAGTGGCTGGACCCCAGCCAACCTACAACTTGTTGTTTCGTATGGATATTAAAGTACATACGTAGACACATTTGTATACATACTGCGTTGTATTATATATATATATATCCACAGACACGTTGGATGAAGTTCTGCAAGCTCCACGTCGATCCCATGTCCTAAATTTGCTAGAGGGCCTCCAAATTCTGCAAGGGAAAGGAGGCTGCTGAGCCGTAAGCTCGAACGTAGGGTTTAGGGTTTAGGAATGTAGACCCTCGTTAAGACACCCCCCTTTCCTCATGGGCCTCAAAAAAGAGGAACCCCGTTATAGCCCTTACCGGGGGAGGAGGACTTCTTGACCAGGGGTCTAGATGTATACGGCTTTGAAACCCACATTAAAAGAACTAACCTGCATGCTCCCTGGGCTTTACACCACAGCAAATATGAAACCATAAACTCTAAATCCTAAACCCTAAATCCGAAATGCTAGCTCCAACTCGAACCGGTCGTCCCAAACCCACCAAGGTTTCAGCCTGTAGCAGGGCGCGGATTTCTATAGAGTTGCTTTAAGGGCTACAACCACGGTTTAGGGTTTAGGGTTTAGGGGGCCTTTCACAATGATTGGTGTCTAGTCTACTTTGATTAAATCGGAACCCTCAAGAAAACCCATAACTATGCGCGCGGGCCTCGAAACTAAGCTGCGGGGGGTCTCTCTCTAAACCCTAAACCCTGGCCGTTTGGTTTTGGGTTGAAGGCCCCTTTAGGGTTTAGGTTTAGGTTTCAGGCCCCTTTAGGGTTTAGGGTTTGGTAGTAGTAGCAGGTAGTAGTGTAGTAGTGGTGGTAGTAGTAG